TATTTTCAGTAAGTATTTTAAACATTAATTAAAATTTATTGAATTTAATTAGACTTCTCCATATGCTTGTGGAAAAGTTATTTGCCACACCAAAAAAGCAACCTTTTCTGCTAAGCCTTTAACTGATCTTATGTAAATCCAACACTTTATCTCTGAGGATTTAATATAGAGGTAACGAACTAAGTAAACTGAGGGCTCGACATGGAACTATGGTCCCCTTGGTCAATTTTGTTGTCCTAACTCAATTGAGTTCCTCTAAGGGTCCGAATTATTCTACTATGATGTGCATGTTCCTGTCCAGTGAGAATCAGGAGTGAAATTGCTACAGTTTGGTATTTTTGTCATCTTAACTTTCACTAAATTTCTTGACAAGAAAATTAGAACATCTTTGATTTTGGTCTTACTTGATCTCACATGTATTTTCTTCCATTGATTTTCAATATTATTACCTCTATTGCTCTCTTTTATAATAAATATTTTGTATTGCCCATTTTACTAACTTGAAATGAAAATCATAGTTAATATTATCTATCTGCACAATTTCAACAAATCATTATGATGCCCTAATTTTAATGTAAAGGAGAAGTCGAAGGAAAGCAATTTATAATAAAATGTGTATTTCAATATGTAAGTACTGGAGCAGACTACACTAGATGAAACAAGAGGTAGTCAAATGCTTGCGCCTGTACATAGAATGACTATGAATCACTGTGAATGGGATAGCTGTGAAAGCTGATTATAATACATATTGGTGATTCAGATACCCAAGTGGCATTGGCATTGGTGACATGATTTTCCAAAATGGTGAAAAACTCTTAGTAAAGTTCTGAATAAAACAAAGAGATGCATTGTTGCAGTCTAGAAAATTTGGGGTGCATTAATATGTGGGAAAATTCATTTTGTTTACATATTAGTTAAGTTCTAGTCTTAGATATATTCAGTGGGACCTTTGAAAGTCAACAAGACATATGACAATTCTTTGCCATACCGGATTGTTTCCTGCATTGCTGGACCTCTAGTATCTCTGGCACTTGCCTTTTAATTGCTGGTAAAGTATTCATCCCATCCCTCTTCCCAGTAATCCCTAAAATGCCTCTATATAAATCCAGAGGATCCTCTAGGGGGCAGTGCTGCTAACATTGAGAACCACCAATTTAAAAGTATCTAGCTACATTAATCTAAACACCTGTATTTCTCATGGAATTTCAAAACCAAAGTAACTTAAGCATCCTAGGTCCTTAAATATGATGTTTTAAATAGTTAAGAAAATTGCAGAATTATGTAATAAGTTGATTTGTTCAAATGCATCATTGTTTTGTTGCAGTTCTTATAAGCAGATCAATATGTTTGCTATTTTAGGTCCCTAGTAGCCTCCATAGTCTTTATTTTTTCCACTCTTTCTGTTTAGTAAGTCAGTAGTATATAACTTTCTTTAATGTCACTGTTTACTTATTTAACAGTCACACAATTTGTCCCTTAAAAAAACCCCATTGTTTAAATTTGGAAGATATTACAGAAACTTTGTGAAATGGAGGCAAATTTTCCCATAATCATACCACCCTAACAACTGTTAATATTTTCAGTATTTTTTTCTGTATATGCATATTTTGACATTCAAAAATTAGTTTTGTGTCTTTTCACTCAACATGGCATAACTTTTTAATATTATTATATAACTTCAAAAATATTATTTTAAATTACTGCATCCTATTCTGTTAGGTTCCACAATTTAACTATTTTCCTACCTTTAGTTTGTTCACATTATAAAAACATACACACATATTTTTTATCTGTTTCAGTATTTTCATTTTTCCTTTAGGATAGGTCTTCAGAACTGGGGTCATTTATTAGGTCATTAGGATTAGGCTAATATTTAACAAAAGTTACATTTTTTTATAACTTCTGTTAAAATTGCAAATTGACTTTAAAAGTTATTTACTTCACATTTTTTGAGCATCAGTGATACTGAACATGTTTAGTGAATTATTTCTATTTTCTCTTTTAGAAAATGTGTGATCTGCCCTTTGACTATTGATCTGTTGGGTGCTTGGTGGTTTTTTTTGTTTGTTTTCTCTTTTCGAATCAGACCTTTTAAATAATATTTCAATGTTTCTTACACTCATTTTTATGCTATCTTTGATTTTAGTTTGATTATTTTATTTTTATTTTTATGAGACGACAGTTATCTACTTGTACAAGATAGTATGTGATATCAAGGAAAGAACGTGGGATGTGGAGTCAAGAAATCAGGGTTCTGGAAGGAGATATTTATAATACATATTACATCTGACAAAGCACTCATATCCAGAATGTATATAAGAATGCTTACAAATCATTAAGAAAAAGGCAGACAATCCAATTTCTAAAGAATGAGGAAAAGCCCTAAACCACCACTTCATAAAAGATATCCAGATATTTAAACCATCTGGCAGTATCTATGCTGAATGAATGCAGATTGATTTTATATTACTGTGTAAGACATATTTAAAAATGTGTATTTGGGGGAAATACTTCATTGTAAAACCAGGTTAATATTAAATTTTGGTCATCCAGACTATAGAACACTGTCTTTGTTAGTATGGCCAGTTTAGATTTTACTGTATTTCTGTAGAAGAGAGATCAGTTTTTTTTTTACCTTATTCTGCCTTTAGTAGGACATTATTATTTCTGATTCTTTGCCTATTGAATATGCTATTAATTTATATCCAGCTGGTACATATTCCCTAGGAAAAATCCTTCGTTAAAGAACAGTAATCTCTTGATTTTGGTGCTTTTAGTGGGATTAAGGAATATTTTGGGTTCCAGTGACTCCACCAATGTATGAATGAGAGAATGGGAGGAAAAAGGAAAGGAAATCAGACATTCAAGGGTGAAAACGTTGTGAATGTCACAAAAAGGCATAAAAGACCCCCCACATAAAACCCACAAGTGCATGTGGTTATTTTTCTTATTCTTCACCATAGGATATATTATGAATTATTTCTATTCTTACAAAGAGAACAACTATAAAAAATTCTTTCCTGTTTGGTGACAAATGCCTGTTTTGGACATGTACATCTCACCTAATCATTGTGTGAGCCTCCCAGTATTAACATCTGCTCCTGGTCACTCTTTATGTTTGGTTATTTCTGTGTTATGAAATCTACTAAAAAATACAATAATTTAAGCACAAACTTGTGTTCTTTTGGGGACATTTTTTAATCAACCTTTAATCAACCCTTTTAGATTTCCTAACACCTCTAATTATGTGATGCATTTTGTTCCTTTCTGGTATAAATAACCTCTCCAAGCTCTGTCAACATTCTTCTCACACACATACTCCTTTCCCCTCTTTTCTTGAGTAATTCCTGTTCATACCAGATTGGGATATACTAATCAACCTGACATTCCTCTCTTATAATTTATTTCCCCTCAACTCAAAGAGTATTCACTTTTTGAGACAAATTCATACCTGAGGCACATTTTTTCTTGTGTAAATTTCAGGGGTTCCATATCTTCCCATCCCCACAACCTTCAAATTCTACCTGTTTGCCTTTCTTTCAGATACATATAACATCATTGAATAGTCTTTCTGGATTTGGGAACTTTCTTCTTCTAGAAGTGTCATCTTTTGAATTTGAGCATTTCTGATACTTTCAAATCTTTCTTCTCCTATGTACTCCTGACATGATCTTTCCTTAACACATATTTCAATATTTCTTATTCAAGATGACACAAACACACATACACACACATGCACACACACACACCCATCCTAGGCTGTGACATTTTCAGATATCTTGTATTCAGGATGTGGGGCATACTTAATTTATACGTTCTTAGTGAGACACATACTCTATTGATAATACTGTTAGACTCTCTTTTCATTATTTTCATTGAATGTGAATTGTGCCTTTTTTTAAATAAATTAATTTTATTTATTTATTTGGCTGCATTGGGTCTTTTTTTCTTTATATTTATTTATTTTATTTATTACTTATTTTTGGCTGCATTGGGTCTTCATTGCTGCGTGCAAGCTTTCTCTAGTTGCGGTGAGCGGGGGCTACTCTTTGTTGCGGTGCGTGGGCTTCAGTAGTTGTGGCTCACAGGCTCCAGAGCGCAGGCTCGGTAGTTGTGGCACACGGGCTTAGTTGCTCCGCGGCATGTGGGATCTTCCCGGGCCAGGGCTTGAACCTGTGTTCCCTGCATTGGCAACAGATTCTTAACCACTGCGCCGCCAGGGAAGTCCCATGCATTGGGTCTTCATTGCGGTGCATGGGCTTCTCATTGCAGTGGCTTCTCTTGTTGCGGAGGCTTCAGTAGTTGTAGCACGCAGGCTCAGTAGTTGTGGCTTGCGAACTCTAGAGCGCAGGCTCAGTACTTGTGGTGCATGGGCTTAGTTGCTCTGTAGCACGTGGGGTCTTCCTGGACCAGGGCTCGAACCCATGTCCCCTGCATTGGCAGGTGGATTCTTAACCACTGCACCACCAGGGAAGCCCTGAATTGTGCCTTTTTCTGAAAGAACTTACATGCACATTGCCTGTATGAGGGTTGAAAATACTTATTTTCAAATTCTGAGCACATTCACTGTTGCTAAAAAAAGTTATGGTAGATTTATTTTAAATTTTGTACCACTTAAAGAGGATAATATATTTACCTTATTTCTATTTACATTTGTGAGAAAACTTTATTGCTGCAACTCCTCCAGTGAAAACAGTTTGTTGCTAGTTTTAAATTTTAGACAAGCTTTCTTTGCCACTTACCTCTTCTATTTTTTACCAGCTGTGTTCGGAGAATTCAAATTAATTTTATTATCCTAGTTAAAAATTTGATAAGAAAGAAAAATCTGTTCCCAAAATTCAAATAAAAATTGCTTTTATATGATCTGTAGTTTCAGAGGAACTATATCACAACCTTTTGAAGGTCTAATTGAGAACTGACTTATTAGTGAAGATAGAAGGGAAAAAAATTATGTCATAATGTATAAATGGAGATGTTAAATTCATCTATGTTTTGTTTAGATGTCCCTGGTAGATTTGGGAAAGAAGCTTTTAGAAGCGGCTCGAGCAGGTCAAGATGATGAAGTTCGTATTTTGATGGCTAATGGAGCTCCTTTTACTACAGACTGGGTAAAGAATGGTTTTAATGTTGTGGGGTTTTTTTGTTTTTTGTTTTCTCCTCCTCCTCCTCCCCCTCCTCTTCCTCCTCCTCCTTCTCCTTCTTCTTCTTCCTCTCATTTTTGAGTTTTTCCAGTTAAAAGTTTAGTCAGTATTGTGTTTATAAGTGGTGAAAATTTAATTTTTTTGCAAATTTGTTTGCAATTTTAGAATTATAGCTTGCTTTTAAAGAGAATGGTTCATATACTTTTTTTTATAATAGACCACCTTATCCAAATATTCTGTCCACACATGGGTTTTTCTTTAAATTACGGAGTTTAGTAATGCAGGATGAATGTGAAATGTAGCTGCTTGGGATTTAATTTAAAGGCCTTATAAATAGCACAGGTAGAATTTACAATTCAGAAAAAGCAAATTTGGTGTTAATGTTATAATTGATTCTAAAAAAGGAAAAATGTTTGCATTTCAATTGTTACTTGTAAAACTATTGCAAACATCACTCAGAAGGAAGAAAGGAATGAGAAGGAGTTCTTAGTAATTACAGAAGGCAATTGTGAAGAAGACAGAAACCATAACTCTGTTTAATTCTGCAGGTAAATCAAAAGGGATATTCTTGGGAATGTGGAGGGTTAGGAATATGGATTAATTCTCCCACTGGTAACAACTAAAAACTCCAGAGTTTTGATTTTGTTGTTTTTAGCTTACTTGTTCCATGTTCTTTTTAACTTTTCATTCAAAACAATTTTTTTTAGTATGGAAAATTTCAAACATAAATCAACCCCTGTATACCCTTCAAAAATTATCAAATCAAATGAATCTTATTTCCTCTATAACCCCATTTACTTTCTTTGTTTAGTATTATTTTAAAGTAAATTTCAGGAACCATTTTGTTTCATCCATAGCTTTCAGCATCTGTCTTTAAAAGATAAAGAATTTTTGACTGAGTATATTAAAAAAAAATCTTAAGGGCACTGATGAGTTAGAAAGAAAGTAAGGGATTATCAAGCTGAAAAACTAAGCAAAGGCCATAACCCAGAGAAATTTCACCCTTAGAACATTTGCTAACTCAGTAAATTTGCCAGTTGGTGTTCTACCTCCCCGGCATAGGTTACTTAAGATAAAGACCTGAGACTGCTCATAGAGGGAAGTCTCCTAGAGATCCTTTCCCCATAATACTGGAATCCTAAAGAGATGTACCTTCGTTGTAAGGGTAAACCAGAAATACCCCCTCCATCCTCCTACCTGATCCTGCCCCTGCCCCTGCCCCTGTTGTTAGGATACTGCAAGGCAAATGAACTGGCTTGAACTAAGGTACCAAATGGAGAGAGGAAAAATGTTGTTGACGAGAATTTGGAGTCAAAAGCCATCCTTTGCACACATTTGTGGCCTTAACTCATAAATACTTATGTATTCTGCAAAACTCTGAACTGAAGAATGAATTTAAAATTATCTTTGGACTAGAGGTTACCCTTGGTTCCTGACACAAGCAAATGAATATCCTTTTTGGAGGAACCTACCTTCCTCCCAGGCTTCATATCTACAAATGAAAGTCCAAGGAAAATGAACAGTCAAAAATAACTGAACACTGGGACTTCCCTGGCAGTCCAGTGGTTAAGACTCCGTGCTTCCACTGCAGGGGGTGCGGGTTTGATCTGTGGTCGGGTAATTAAGATCTCGCATGCCACGTGGTGCGGCCAAACGAAAAAAAAAACCCAACAAAAACTGAACACACAAGGACACAAGGCAGCTTGGACAATAACCCACTGGAACAACTGACAACATAAGCAGACCTATAAGGACTTTAGATAAGATTTTAATAGCAGATTAGGAATAGCTGAAGAGAAAATTAGTAAACTGAAAAACAAAAAAAAATCATTCAGAATGCGGTGCAGAGAAAAACAAAAAAATATAAAAGATGTCAGGAGTCATGAAGGCTAGTGTATGAGAAAGTCTAACATATATCTAATCATAAATCCACAAGGAGAGTGAAAATAGGGATGAAATAATTTTAAAAGATAATGGTTTAGCTTTTCCAAGACTGATGAAAGATGGCAGCTCACAGATTCAAGTAGCCCAGAAAATCTCCAGCAGAATCAGTAAAAATAATCTATATCTAGATACATCATAGTGATCCCGTAGTACATCAAGACAAAAAGAGGCTTCAAGATACCAATGAGATATCACGTCACACCTGTCAGAATGGCTATCATCAAAAGGTCTACAAATAAATGTTGGCAAGGATATGGAGAAAAGGGAATCCTCGTGCACTGTTGGTGGGAATGTAAATTGGTGCAGCCCCTATGGAAAACAGTGTGGAGGTTCCACAAAGAGCTAAAAATAGAACTACCATATGATCTAGCAATTCCACTCCAGGGTATATATCTGGAAAAAATGAAAACTCTAATTCAAAGAGATACGTGCACCCCAATGTTCATAGAAGTACTGTTTGCAATAGTCAAGATATGAAAGCAACCCAAGTGTCCATCAACAGGCAAATGGATAAAGATGATGTGGTATGTACATGTACAGTGGACTATTACTCAGCCATAAAAAAGAAAGAAGTTCTGCCATTTGCAGCAATGTGGATGGATCTGGAGAGTATTATGCCTAATGAAATAAGTCAGAGAAAGACAAATACTGTATGATACCATTTATTCGTGGAATCTAAAAAATTAACAAATGTGTATAGCAAAACAGAAACTGGACTCACAGATACAGAAAACAAACTAGTGGTTACTGGTGGGGAGAGTAAAGTGGGGAAGGACGAAATAGGGTATAGGATTAAGAGATATAAACTACCATGTATAAAACATATTAGCAATAAGGATATATTGTATAGCACAGGGAATTGTAGCCATTATTTTGTAATGACCGTTTTTTTTTTTTTTTTTTTGCGGTACGCGGGCCTCTCAATGTTGTGGCCTCTCCCGTTGCGGAGCACAGGCTCCGGACGCGCAGGCTCAGCGGCCATGGCTCACGGGCCCAGCCGCTCCGCGGCATGTGGAATCTTCCCGGACCGGGGCACGAAGCCGTGTCCCCTGCATCGGCAGGCTGACTCTCAACCACTGCGCCACCAGGGAAGCCCCTGTAATGACTTTTAATGGAGTATAATCTATAAAAATACTGAATCACTATGCTGTACACCTGAAACTAATATAATATTGTAAATCAGTTATACTTCAATTAAAAAAAAAATGTATAAACCCTGAAAAAAAAAGACAAAAATCTTAAGAAGGATTAGTGTCCATAATACATAGGGATTCCCATGACAGTGATGAAAAACAAGACAAAGAAGATAGGGCAAATGACTTGATATGGTACTTGACTAAAGAGAATGTTTGAATAACCAATAAACGTGAAAAGATGCTCAGCTACATTAATGATTGGGCAAATGCAAAGTAAAATCATGAAATACTATTGCTTATCCATCAGATAAGAAAAAACTAAACAAAAAAGTCTTTCAGCACCAACCGTTGGTGAGGAGATCCATAAATTGATAGAAACATTTTGGAGAACAGTTTGGCAGTACCTAGTAGATTTAAATGTGTACATACCCTCTGGCATAACTATTGAACTTCTAAGAATATTTCCAAGGGAAGTTCTTGTTCATGTATAAGACTGTTTTTAGTAGCAGCATTATTCATAATAAAAAACTGGAAACCTTAATGCTCAACAGTGGGTTAGTTAAATTGATTATGGCTTATTCATTTGGTAGAAAATCATAGAGCAGAGAAAATTAGTGAACTATACTTATATTCATCAACGTGGGTGAATCTTATGATATTAAGCCAAAGAAGGCAAGTCTCAGAGAAATACATGCAATGTGATTCTATTTAAATAAATTTCAGAGCAGACAAAACCAAAGTATATTATTTAGGGATACATAGTAATTTTTAAAAAAGCAAAGTAAAGCAATCTTTATTACAAAATTCAGACTAGTAATTACCTCAGGGGTTGGGGGAGGGGCTTATTAGGGAGTGGCACGTGGGAAGATTCTAAATTGCTGGTAATGTTTTATTTATAGACTGTGATGGTATTTACCTTATTTTCCTCCTTCAAACTACATATATGTACGTATATACATATTTTGTATCATCAACCAAAAAGGTAAGGTCTCGAGAAGAAAAAATTACAAAAGAAACCATTTTATCACACTGAGCAGAACTCATGGTTGCTAAATAGGCTATGGAGGTATTTCATTAAATATTAGAATTTAAGAGTATAGAAAAGGCCAGTTTTAGAAAAGTATGATAGAGCATGGAGGAAGAAAGGATTGTTTAAAAATCTTCTTTAATCTGCAGGAATGACCTTCCCTTAAAAATACAAGGCTTTTAATAGTAATAAAATAATTATTCCCAGGATAAATGATTTCCATTTTTACCATATATTGAGAGCACATACCTAGCTTTGTCTTATGACTCTTACTTGTGTGACTTCAGGCAAATTAGTAACCTCTTTGTGCCTTACTTATTTTCTTAAAATTTTTAAAACTTTTTATTATAGTTGATTTACATTGTTGTATTAGTTTCAGGTGAACAGCAAAGTTAATCAGTTATACATATATCCACTCTTTTTTTTTTTTTTTAAGATTCTCTTCCCATATAGGCCATTACAGAATATTGAATAGAGTTCCCTATGCTATAAAGCACGTTCTTACTAGTTATCTGTCTTATATATGGTAGTGTGTATATGTCAATCCCAATCTCCCAGTTTATCCCCCCCTTATCCCCTGGTCATGCCTTAGTTTCTTTTACTGCCAAATGAGGATAGTAATAGTACCTGTGTTTTGAGGAGATTAAATGATACAATAGGTGTAAAGGTCTTAGAATAGTGCTTGCTATGGAAAGTGCTTAAATAAAAACCTTAGTTGCTATTATTACAGCAGTGGTCTTAGCAAATTGCATGTTCTAGTGAACTATCTTGGTTCTTTAGAACATGAGTGCCTTGGTAATCAGAGAGTTGTAGGGACTTTTTGTGCTTCTAAGTGCATGTGATATAATGTAATTCTAGTTTTCACCTATTAAAAATTATACCTCTGGGCTTCCCTGGTGGCGCAGTGGTTGGGAGTCCGCCTGCCGATGCAGGGGACACGGGTTCATGCCCCGGTCCGGGAGGATCCCACATGCCTCGGAGCGGCTGGGCCCGTGAGCCATGGCCGCTGGGCCTGAGTGTCCGGAGCCTGTGCTCCGCAACGGGAGAGGCCACAATAGTGAGAGGCCCGCGTACCACACACACACACACACAAAAATATACCCCTGATAAGGCTCTTCTTCACATTTTAGTATGTACTTCTGTATATTTTGAATGTAGCGTGACTAGGCCACGTGGAACCAATTTCAGGAGAACTGGGCTCTCTTTTGGTTCTTTTTTTAAAATTTTTACTGGAGAATAGTTGATTTACAATGTTGTGTTAGTTTCTGCTGCATGTTTTGGTTCCGTCTTAACTCACCTTTAGCAAGTGCACCTCACATCAGATTTTTTCCTTGAAAAATGACTATATGAACTCCTTTAAAAAGATCACTGAGGTGCTTTAATTAATTTATTTTTAACTCCTAGAAACAGTTTAATGTAAAAATGTACACTGTTACAATTATTTGATGTGAATTTCATAGATGAAAAGTTTTGTGTGAATGGTGTGAGGAAAACTTTCTAATGCTTAAAAGTTTCTGACCCTAATTATGTCTAATTCCTGATGAAATTAATTTTGTTTAGACTATCTGATAACAAAATAAAGAAAGCAAGTTTGAATTAAATGAAATATTGTCATTTCTTCCTCACTGAGAAATGAATGGGAATTCTTGAAGGCCCCTATGAAGAGACTGTGATCAGCAAAAATTATTCCTTTTCAGTTTTGAGTTACTGTGTAAACATTTGATATAAAGAGAATCTGTTTGCTCTGTAAACAGAATATATAAAGTAGAAGATAGAAGTATATTTTAAAATGACTATAGATGTGGATTTTTTTTCTTGTGGTATAGCTTGGAACTTCTCCACTTCATCTGGCAGCACAGTACGGACATTATTCCACCACAGAAGTACTACTCCGAGCCGGTGTAAGTAGGGATGCCAGAACCAAAGTGGACCGAACACCGCTGCATATGGCAGCTTCTGAGGGCCATGCCAGCATAGTGGAGGTTTTGCTTAAGGTATGTGTTCTCTTTTTGCACTTTGCTTTTGAAAGTAAGACCCCAAAGGCTATAAAACCATAGTGGTTTTATAAGAGGGAGAAGGGAACTAGTTTTGTTACTGACAGGGTTCTTGGACTCCTTAAGGCCAGACAAGTAATTCAGGCAAGGCTTTATTAGGACTTGTGCTATAGCACTAGGGAGCGAAAACAAGTATCAGGTTCCCTTGCTCACTCCCTGACAGGGGAGGAGCTGGTCCCTTAAATGCAGTGAGGGTAGGGGCCAGTCCAGGGGTCACATGGGAGGGGTGGCTTGGGTGGTCTGCCCACCCCCTTAGTGGTGCTGTATGCAGTACCCTGCTTTTGCTCCCAACACCTCAGAAGTGGCAGTTGGGTTTTTGGTCTTTTGTATCTTATTTTTCATAATTTGCCCCAACTGCACATGCACGCAGTTATTTTTAGTCCCTTATATTAGTTTCTTTGTATTCTGTCGCTGGAGGAGATGTTTGTCCAGGTGCAAGCACTGCAGCAAAGGGTCCCAGGTCCGAGCCTGTCTCTGTTTTATTGAATGTCTACTTTTTTCCCCCATGTTATCTCATTTTTTGTGGGTAAGCATTCATTTGAGTGAAAATTATTTTAAAGTGTTATTTTGTGGGGGGAAAAACTTCCTCATTGTATGTTTTTAGTTAAGTCAGACAATTGACTTCTTAGATCTTGGTCTTTGCTGTGGTGAGGGACTACAGCTTTGTCTTACTCAACATATTTAAAACACACATGGAAGGGAATGTTAGGCTTGAATAATTAACAAACAAATAATACAGGCAGGGCTTTTTCTTTAATCATCTAAATGCCAAAAAAAAAATTCTGAAACAGAGAGTGATAGATTTAGATATTCTTAATTCTTTTTATTCTGGCCTCTAGATCAACTTATCCAAAAAACATACAATATAAGCCACGAGTACAAGTCACGTGTAATTCTAGATTTTGTATAGCTACATTAAAAAAGTAAAAACAAAATAATTTTAATATTATATTTTATTTAACTCGGTATATATAAAATATTATAATTTCAACATGAAATCAATTTAAAAATTATTGAGATGTTTTACATCCTTTTTTTGGTGTGAGGTCTTTGAATTCCAGTGTGTATTTACATGCACAGCATAACTGTATTCGGCTACATGTGTCTAGTGACAACCATAATGGATAGTGTATCTCTTGATAGCTCCCTATTAATTCATTATATTGCACTGGTTTTGAAAGCAAGGGATATTTTTGTGTAAATAAGGAGCTGGAGGGTTTTGGAGGAATGTTCATAGTTTTCCTTCACACCTTATGCCATTCTAGCCCTTCATACTCATGGCTGGATGACTGAAAAAATAATTGCTGTACGCCTAAGAAATTAGAAGGAATGCAATTAGGAAAGCCAACATGATAGGAAACTGATTACGTGACAGATGTGTGGTGATTCCTGGAACGTGTAGATCATTCAACACACAAAAATAAAGAGTTGGTCATATTAGTAGCAAATTCTTGGTTTAAAGCACAGTGGCTAGTATTTTCATATCAGGACTTCTTTATATTTCGTATTTTAGAAATTTCTTATTTTGAAATATTTGTATAGCATGGCGCTGATGTCAATGCAAAGGACATGTTGAAGATGACAGCTCTACACTGGGCCACAGAACACAATCATCAAGAGGTGGTGGAACTCTTAATCAAATATGGTGCTGATGTACACACGCAAAGTAAATTTTGTAAAACTGCGTTTGATATTTCAATAGACAATGGGAATGAAGATTTAGCAGAGATACTACAGGTAACTTTTGGCTTTTAATTTAAGAAAATAAAAGGATCTCTGTCATATGGATGATTTGAACTATTTAGCTTGTAGTTTTTCATTTTGGACTTATTTTGGACAGTCCTATTCCTTTTTCACTTCCTCTTTGTTCATTGCTGTTCATTTTCCTAATTGTAAGACCACAGTCTTTGCATGTAACATTAGAAGATTAGATAAAGTGATTACTTTCAGTGTTTGTAAGGTTCTGAATTCCCTTCTATACATTTTAGTCTATTAATTATTTTGATGCATGTTTGGATACCTTATGGTTTTTCAAGTCTGTTATACTTCCACTAACATTTTTTTTAGGAATCGTAATCATGTCCCCTCAGTGAGTGATGCAGTCTTCATCATTCTGATTGGTTTCTTTTATTTTTTCACCATCCTCAAAAAAATCTGTTTATGAACATAGTTATTTATGGTTTTTGGACAAGTTTTCCTACTAACCAACATTACTTCTCTTTTCTTTAGCTAGACAACATTGATGTAAATTTTCTTCTTTACTTATTGCGTCTTCTTGCCTATCTTCTTGTTCTCCTTCCCAGTAGAACTCTTCTCTAAGACTATCTGAGTCTGTTGAACTTCATCTAGTTACTTAAAAGATGTTATGTGTTCAGGAAAATAAATTGTGCTGTGCTTCTTCCAATTCTTTTACTCCCAAGAGTGCAGTTTGGAGCCTAGGGTTGAGGATGGAGGACAATTAACTGAGAAGGATGTGCTTTATATAGGTAGTGTTATATATTGCTGAATATAGTAGAGAACATAATTTGATTTAAGTAATTTAATTTCTGTAGCTGCAGGGCAGCAGAATATCTTTCAACTGTGTTCTATTTATATATAGAACACAGATTTTTTTTTTGGCCCCACCGCGTGGCTCGCGGGATCTTAGTTGCCTGACCAGGGATTGAACCTATACCCTTGGCAGTGAAAGCGCAGAGTCCTAACCGCTGGACCACCAGGGAATTCACTCAACTGAGTTCTATACAATCCTTTCAGATACCTACTTCGCCTCACATGGGATTTTGCTGCTTTACCTAAGAGGGAAACTCAGGATATAAATACATATCTATGATTTACCACTATACTTTCAGTAGACCAGAAACAAGGATTTCCATTTGTATTATATGATTCTTAGATTACAGGATGTTACATTAAAAGTCTGTCCTATATGTTCTGGTTATAATTCTGAAAACACTATGGTAATTTGTCCTCTAGATTGCTATGCAGAACCAAATCAACACAAACCCAGAGAGTCCCGACACTGTGACGATACACGCTGCAACACCACAGTTTATCATTGGACCTGGAGGGGTGGTGAACCTAACAGGTCTGGTATCTTCAGAAAATTCATCCAAGGCAACAGGTATTGAGATGCATATAGGATAGCTGTTGGGATTTTATGCTTTAGTAGGTATTCATCCTTTTAAGAAAGGACTGTTGGAGAATGAGGGTAAGATTATATCAGCCACCTTGGTTTTCTTTGTTATAATTGGCAAAAAAAATTTTATGAGGCAAAATAATCTAAAGAAAGGTGATATTGCAAAATGTACTGCAGTATTACCTTTCAAAAGTTAATGCTATCCAAGCTCGTTTTTCACAAAACTAATATTATCTAAGCTTCATTTAAGAGTTGAATAAAGTAAAACAGATTATCAGAAAAATTCACTAGATTAAATTCCTTAAAAATTCAAACATGTTTTCTCCTTTATCGTAGATGAAACGGGTGTATCTGCTGTTCAATTTGGAAACTCCTCTACATCAGTATTAGCTACATTAGCTGCCTTAGCTGAAGCATCTGCTCCATTGTCCAATTCTTCAGAAACTCCAGGTTAGAAAAACGAGTCAAATGTGTACATCGAAAGTTGGAGATTCAAATATTTGCACAGGCCAGGAAGGAAATTTAAAAGACTAAAGGGGGCAGGGTTGAGGTTATGGCCATCTGAGGAGAGTGGGGCAGGGCAAGGGTGCATCTCCTTCTCAGCTCTTACTGATTATAGTAAAATGCTCAGTTAGTGTTGCCAGACTCTGTTTTTTTCAAGGGAAGCTGAAAATCTGGATTTTAAAAGAACATTAAATCTTGGCAATTATTTAAAATTAAATTAGGATTAAAATTAATTAAAATTAAAAACAAACTTGTGTGGTTCACAGAAAACATGTCTGTGTACCCCATTTGGCTTTGTTTTACTAGTCTGACTTTTTGTATAAATAAATTAGCTAAGTATATATGAACCTGCTGTCTTTTTCATAACTTTTAATTTTTGGCAGCTCTATTAGAATGACATAAAATCTTAATGACTGACAAAACTAGGAAATAGCACACCAACAACCACCATTAAAGTATAACTTGGGGTTAAATGATTACAAACAGTATTAATAGCTGGTTTGATAAGGTTTACCTTTATACTTAACCAAAATAATTCTTGCTATAATTATGTAAGTAAAATATTTTTTAATTAGGGAATTTAAAAGACTCCACAAAATTATTTTTCTTACTGTAGTTTAAGCCATTTTATTTGGACCAATGCTTAAGAAAGTAAAGAATAATTTGTTGTCATTCATTATTTAATTTTTTTTCAAAATGTGACTAATAATAATAATAACAGCAACAGTTCGCTGCATGTTTACTGTGTGTGCTATGCACTGTGGCTGATGTTTTACACGTCTCATTTAATCCTCACCAAAAAGATCGAAGGTAGATATTACTGGCTTTGACTCTTCAAGGTGATGATTGGATGATGTATTTTTTGGTGGTGGTGGGGTGGTTACTTATCTCTCGCCTTTCTCCCCCTCTCTCTCTCCCTCTCTCCCTCCGTCTCCCCCCTCCCCCTCCCTCCCCCCTCTCTCCCTCTATGCCCCTCAACTAGTAATAGTAAACATTTATTCATTCTCCAGCTTCTTTAGCATTGTAATCAATGTTTGAATCTAAACCTTTACATTTGGGAGTCTTAAGATTTTTCTGAATCACTTTTGGCCATTAACAGCTACGTGTATCATCCTATTGACATGCTGCTTTTATGACCTATGCCTGGATCTCTTCAGCACCTTTGTAATTGCATAAGTATATCAAAGAAAATTAATTTCATTGGTGGATTTCTATTTGATTAAACTTGTAAAATTTTTGCCTTTATTAAAGTACATATCTCTGAAAATTAATCTTTTCTTCAAAGTCAGCTCGAAGTTTTTACATTTAGATGTTTGACTCCACAAATTGGTCATACCAACTTCTCTAACTTCTACCTTTGAAAATGTTATGTGTGGTCTAGTGTGAGAGAATTGACAATTTTAGTTGATTTTTATTGCATGTGACTTACAGTCTTCTGTGAGCACAACAATTTTTTTATTTCAATACTACATCATAGTGAAATCTTTCTGAAGGTATTTTAAGAGCTTGAATTAAGTTAAAATTCAGGTGAGTACATTGCCACCAGTATAAACAACTCAGCTGAGGTGTGTAATCACATAAAGAAATATCTTCTCGCAGGTCAGTTTGCACATGCTCAGTCAAGTTATTTCTCTGCCTCTTGGCCGTCCAGTTTCTTTTAACATTATTTGTCAGACTCATCCTGATTTAGAAATGTTTATATGTTTTTTCAAGGACGTCTCAGGGTCTGGGAAATGAAGTAGTACTCCCATTTTATATATGATGAAATTGAGGTTTGCGGAGGTTAAATAGTTTTGCCTAATGTAGCATGGCTATTAAGTGGTGAAAGGAAGTTTGTGCTCAAGGTCTGACTGATTCCCAAGTTGTGTGTCTGTGACCACTAAATATACTGTTTCCTCTATGCAGTTTCTTCAGGTGATCAGTGGCCGAGTCTCTTCTAGAATGTTTATAATTTGGTTTGTGATAGGAATAAATATTTGTGTAATCATCACTTTGTCTTGTATGAAACAAAAGCATCGCTATTCCTAGTTTTACTTCTGAGGTGTATCTTTTGGAGCAGTCTTTTGAAATAAATGTTCTCCTGTTTGCCCTTTTTAAATGATTGAAAAAAATATATAAGAACCATCAGTACACTAACTGGTACTGCTCTTATTCTTTTCTTTTACTGGATAAGTAGTACAGTAAATACATCTTCTGATAATAAATAGCCAGTGTAGCAGCAAATGGACTGCATTTGAAATGGAAGCTAGCTGGCTGACATGGTCCTATATACAGAGGGGAGGTACTCATGATAATCTAGAATACCATGCTGTTTCATTTGAACTATGGCTTTAAATAGTTCTTTCATGTTTACATTAGGACTATCTTTGACATATAAAACAAATCTTAATGGTAGTCCAATGGGAACATCATAAAGGAAATCAGTCTAGTATAATGCTTTCATTGTGAAACGAAATGTCTTCTTGATGTTACAAGCAAATATAACTTCAGATTGTCACTGTTTGATGATTGAATTGCTTCCTTACTAGCATTTTTTATGTAAATATTTCCAGTTTTATTCTTTTCTCATAAACCTTTATTTTTCCGAGCATTTAACTTGTTAAATTTTTAATCTCCATGCATAATTTTCATGATTCTTTGTCTGTTTGATAGAAGTACAAAAAAAAAATTTGATAAATCTCAGTATACCCTGAAGAGTTTGTTGCTAATGTTCATTTTTATTAAATTGGTTTTTTGGGAGTTTTTATTTCAGTTCCTGAGCCCACAGGCCTATGCTAATGTGCATAATTATATTAAATAATCATTAGGTCTATCTAGGTCCAGGCCAGGCCAGAAAAACATGATGAAACACTTGATGTAAGTCATAAATTTAACTTGGCATGATGAAATATAGAAAAATAATGATTAATATGTATAGGGTTCTTGCTATAAACTTGTTATTATGCTAAGTGCTTTACGTGTATTATCTCATCTCGCAATAGTCATCTGAATTAAGATATTATCATTGATCATTGACTGAGGTTTAGTTTTCAGCTCTGAGGTTTCAGAAATATTTTATTAATATATCCTGGGTTAATATAAAGGACTACTCACACTCAGCAAACTCATAAGAAAGTGACACATAAATCAAAATACTAAGTTATTTATTTTTAATTTCTTTTAAAGGGAGGATACAACTGTCTTTTGATACATGAAATTACCTTACTCATTTTGAAACAAATCAGTGAAAATATTTACAGCCTTTAAAAGTATGCAGACAGTTTTCAAGATACTTGTTTAAAACATCCTTCATAATTTTGGAGTGGAATAATTCAGAAGTATCAGGCATCTCTAACATTAATATAATAATTGTCCTCTTTTACATTATTATTATTTTTTAACATCTTTATTGGAATATAATTGCTTTACAGTGGTGTGTTAGTTTCTGCTTTATAACAAAGTGAATCAATTATACATATACATATGTTCCCATATCTCTTCCCTCTTGCGTCTCCCTCCCTCCCACCCTCCCTATCCTACCCTCCCTATCCCACCCCTGTAGGTGGTCACAAAGCACGGAGCTGATCTCCCTGTGCTATGCAACTGCTTCCCACTAGCTATCTATTTCACATTTGGTAGTGTCTATAAGTCCATGCCACTCTCTCACTTCGTCCCAGTTTACCCTTCCCCCTCCCCATGTCCTCAAGTCCATTCTCTATGTCTGCATCTTTATTCCTGTCCTGCCCCTAGGTTCTTCAAACAAACTAGTAGAATTTTTGCTTGGAAATAGTTGGAAATTATCTTGTTAATTTATGTACCCAATGATTAGAAGGCTGTGTTACTTTAAATATTCTGTGATTCAAGTTTTCTACTAATTTGAACTGCTCTCAGTTAGTTTGAATTAATATGGTAATATCAACAAGAGCAGCATTCTTAAATTTTGTGTGAATCAGAATCACCTTCTCAACAATCATTTGCCCCAATTCTACCCCAGTGGATTCTGATTCAGTAACTTTAGGGTGGGACCGTGACATCCATGTTTTTAACATGCTCTCAAAAGTGATCCTATGGCACACCAAAATTTAAGAATTTGACCCAAATTTTAAAAGTTCTATTTCTTACTACTAATAGACTGTATAGTAAATATCTAAAGATTGTGAGTGTACTACAGCAAAGATTTGCTTGAATAATATATATTTCTTATTTATTTCATCTTTATGTGTAATTTAATATTTATTCAACTGTTTATGGGGTGCATAGGTCAATCTCTACTAAGGAAAAGATGTGGGAGAGAGGAATGGCTTTCTTTTTTTATTTTATTTAATTAATTAATTTATTTTTACATCTTTATTGGAGTATAATTGCTTTACAATGGTGTGTTAGTTTCTGCTTTATAACAAAGTGAATCAGTTATACATATACATATGTTCCCATATCTCTTCCCTCTTCCGTCTCCCTCCCTCCCACCCTCCCTATCCCACCCCTCCAGGCAGTCACAAAGCACCGAGCTGATCTCCCTGTGCTGTGCGGCTGCTTCCCACTAGCTATCTACCTTACGTTTGGTAGTGTATATATGTCCATGCCTCTCTCTCGCTTTGTCACAGCTCACCCTTCCCCCTCCCCATATCCTCAAGTCCGTTCTCCAGTAGGTCTGTGTCTTTATTCCTGTCTTACCCCTAGGTTCTTCATGACATTTTTTTTTCTTAAATTCCATATATATGTGTTAGCATACGGTATTTGTCTTTCTCTTTCTGACTTACTTCACTCTGTATGACAGACTCTAGGTCTATCCACCTCATTACAAATAGCTCAATTTTGTTTCTTATTATGGCTGAGTAATAGTCCATTGTATATATGTGCCACATCTTCTTTATCCATTCATCCGATGATGGACACTTAGGTTGTTTCCATCTCCAGGCTATTGTAAATAGAGCTGCAATGAACATTTTGGTACATGACTCTTTTTG